TGAGAAATGGTTTGAAACAAGATGGTAACACTTTGCTTATGTATGGATGTGCATCACTTTGGCTAAATCTCCTTGAACAAGACCTTACACCAAGTGATTTGAACAGGGTTGTAGATTTACCAAAGTATTTTTATAATCACCATCTGCCTGGAACCTCATAAAAGAATTCCAAGCTTCTGTAAAACCTCCATTTCTAGTGACACACGATGGAACAATCAAATGACTTGCCTAGACATATATGTTAAAAATCAGCCACACTATCTTCTGATTGTGAATGAACCATGAACGTCAATCTTCCCTGTCCCTTCCCCTCACCCCCTGGGGCTGGCGCGCAGAGGAGTGAGGTGTCTCAGTTGGGGGCCACATCAGTGAGAGTTGGAGGTTTGGGGAGGAGTTTTTTTTGCTTCTCACTTGTGTGGTCCCCAACTGATTTTTCTGTGTCAGTGACCCCCATCCCAGAAAAGGTTCCCCACCCCTGCCATAAATAAAGAAAACATTGAAACCTTTTGTGTTGGACATAATGTTTTGCTTGGTTTAAAATTAAATTTGATAAACTTATGAGTTAAAATGCTTAATCTGCTTGGTTTAATTTAAATTATTATTCTCCCCAGCTGCAGCACTAGCAAAATGGCTCTGGTGTAATTATGTAATTAACAGTGAGTTTCCATTAGCAACTAATAGTCCGTGTAAAGTTTTGCATTGCCACAGGTGGCACGCCACTTCTGAAAGGTTGCTGACCCCTGTACTAAACCAAATCCAGAGGGATACATCAGTAATTGCTGTTGTGTACAAAGTATAGTTAGATCTAATAATCAATTAAGTGCTTGCACCACACAAGGCAGAAGTTTCATGAAATTACTTTTGTAATTACTCCATGTTGGTAACCTTCTTCATTCAAAATATGCAGGAAAGAGACTATCTGTTGAGCAGGAAGAAATTGCTGCTCATTCACTTCGATATGCCATCAAAGAAAACGGTTTGCCTTTAATACGGGAGAAATCTGAAGAATGCTGTTATTCCATCTGAGTTTATAGAAGCGGTGTTGCAATTGCATGATTGTCTGGCAAGCATAGAACAAATGTTTTAAAACTTGGCATACATCCATTCAGAACTGAAGTATAAACTCAATGTATCCATGTGAAGGGGTGTTTTAGGCCCTCTGGAATTCCCCACTGTCCTACACCCTGTACCGGAAAAAAGGCTGGAAACTGAGGTCCTCCCTTCAGCCTAGAGAAGCTACGAGGGAGGCAGCCAGTCAGAGCCTAGACTGCCTAGGCACTGCAGGGCCTGTAGAACTTGGGTCCTGGCTGCAACCAAAGAAGGAATAATGCTGTTCTTGACTGGCTGAGGAAGCTGCAGCAGCTGGACAGAGCATTCAAAGTCTGGGAGACTCCAGAGTTACAGACTCACAATAGAAATTCTGCTGAAGCAAGGGTGGGATTGAAAAGCTCTCTAGACACATGGCCTGGGTGAGAGAGCACCTTGATGAGAAGAGCCAGAGACTTGTTAGCTCACCAGATGAATCCTAGAACTGGAAGAGACTTCAAGGGATCAAGTCTAGTCCCTTTTGCTCATGGCAGGACCAAGCACCATCTGTAGATCATCCCTGACAGATGTTTGTCTAACCTGTTTTTTAATATCTCCAATGACAGAGATTCCCACAACCTCCATAGACAATTTTATTCCAGTGCTTAACCACCCTGCCAAGAAATGTTTCCTAATGTCCAACCTAAACTTTAAGGTATAAGTGACTAACATTTTAACTGAAAAGCAGAGGTGGCTGGATCTGCTCCCAGGGAGGAGGCTTTACTAGGGCAGTGAAGGGTTCTCCTCGGGAGTGGGGGACAGTACGGGCTGATGGGGCTTTGCTGCAGGCTCTGTAGTATAAAGCTAAGCTTTATACTTCAGCGCATGTAACTGCTGGGACTTTCTCTAACTTAAACCTCCCATGGGTTTAAGCCCATTGCTTCTTGTCCTGTCATCAGGGTTTAGGAGAATCATTTTTCTCTCTCCTTGTTACACCCTTTTTAAGTACTTGAAAGGGCCTGTGAGAGAACCTTGAAATAACAGGGCAGAGAGGTTACTCAAGGAGACCTGGCAAGACCCTGCTGTCACGTGGAACTGGCCAAGGACTCAAAGAGCTGTTGGAACGAAGTGGGATGCAGCACTGGACACTAGTAAAGGAAACAGGTGGCTTCTAGTCATAGGCTCCCTAGGTTGTCTCATGTTTCCCCACAGACAAAGTGGGGAGGAGGCAACAAGTTTTGTTTGGAGCCTGAGATTGGCTTTAAATGGCCCAAGAGATGGGACTGAGGACTTTGGGAGGGGCCCACCTTTTCTCGCTTTGTTTCATGTACACCTCGCTTGTGGCTCAGCTGGAGGGCTGAGTTACAGGAAACGCATCTGAAAGAAAAACTATGGGCACAGAGCACTGAAAACCACTGTGCATGGCATGCATCTAGCCAGCAGAAGGCACTTACGAGTGGCAAGCGGCCATGCCTTTTCAATCCACATCAAAATCAGTCCCCGCTGCAGAATTCTGCTGGGCCAAGGAGATGTGGCTGGGTAGTTGGCAACTCTGCATGCTTCTGATTGCTTAGTACTTCAGGCCTACAATTCTGCATTATTGTCATTCTCTTACAATGTTTTCAACATGACATCACTTCCTTGAGTAATAACGAAAATATTTAGTAAACATTCTAAGTATTCAGCGTCATCATTACTTGTATTAGAATTAAACCCACTACCGTCTTCCACTTTTTGTACTATCTTTTGTACAATCTGGTCAACTCTTTCAAGCTTGTCCCAATTTCAGTAGGCAAGAATAAGGCCATGTGTTCACCAGCTACTAAAGAATGGTTTGATCTAGCCAGAAATGTCCACGTTTTCCTGCTCAGGGAGTATAGCCTCCATAAATGACACGTCTACTATGGACATATGTTTGGATTATCTTTTTTAGTAGAGTTTATAATCAACAGCTCAAGATGTTTATAAAGTCTGTGTTGTACAAGTGAAGTGAATCACAGATTCCATTGATGGGTAATGCCCATTGCATCCAGTTCTTCTCAAGGGACAAGCAAGACTTGAAATCACTGACTGTCTTTCTTTGGACTTGGATCAGAAATTCTTCTGTGAATGCCCTCTGATATTGTTGATGGAGGACATCTTTCTGAAAGTGAATTGATATGTACCCAAGGTGCTGTCCATTGCTCCGGCATGACAGCTTGCAGTTCTGTCCTGACATCCAATAATTGATTTTGGACCTGTAAGTACTGCTTTCTGGTTTACTTGAATCTCACATTTGAAGTGTTTCCACCCATGTCAGAAACTTTTTGGATCTGCAACTAGTATTTTGGATTGTTGAAACCATTAGAGCAGGTCTACATTTTAAAAAGCTGCAGTGGTGCAAAAAATGAGTACGGGATCTTTTGGAAAAAGGGGTTTTTTTTTTTTCCTCAAAAGATCCACGTCTAGATGGCGCTTTCACTTTCAAAAAACCCTTTTTCGAAAAAGCGTTTGGATGCCATTATGCAAATGAAGTGCAGGATATTTAAATCCCTGCTTCATTTGCACTTTCAATTTGCCTGGTTTATATCCCTCTTTTGACAGAGGGATGCAGTTTAGACAGAGTGTAAGTTTCCAATAAGGGGAAATACTGCAGAGGAGGCATCAAAAGCAAAGGAAGTTACTAACATGCAGTTGTAGTTCTTAGTGTTGCCTATTGTAGCGTATTCATGATCCCCGTTTTCTCAGACACCTGAGTTAAGTATTCCTTGAATTAGCACGAGGAACCGAAAGGATTTGGTTTCCCTTCCTTTTTTTTATACCCTTAGAATCCCAAGAGTGTGCTGTCTTTTTGGAAGAGACATTACATTTAAAATGACAATTGTATTGTATCTCTCTATATATTAAAAACAAAATTCCTGTAGGATAACAAAGTGATGTCATTGTGTCACCAGCGTTGCTTTGCCCCCAGCTAGAGTTTCGCTCCAGGCAGCTCCTCTGGCCCCCACCCCTCTACGGTGCTCTGGGAAAGTGGCAGACGTGGCCTCCTCAGTGCTTTTCACACGTCTGCTGTATATGGTGCTCCCTTCACCTCTCACCCAATCCCTGGGGCAGCAACAGATCCATGCCTGCCTTCTGGGGGATTTTTAAATGTCTGCAGCAAGGTGGCTCAAGGTATGAGCCCTCACTCCCCCACGCTGAGACCCCACATCCCTATCCCCAACCTCATCACTCACCCATTCCACCGAGATCCTGTAGCTCCAGGCTCTTCATTCATATCCCCCAAGCTAAGACCCCCCCACATCCCCAGCCCACTCCTGCACCCTTCCCTCTGGTCAAATATCTACCCCCCAGCCCGCTTATGCCTCCTCCCCTGCTGGCCAGACACTTACCTCCAGCTCACTCCTGCACGTCTGGTCAAATATCTACCCCCAGCCCGCTCATGCCTCCTCCCCTGCTGGCCAGACACATACCTCCAGCTCACTCCTGCATGCTCCCCCTTGGCCAGACACCTACCCCCAGAAAAAGGGGGATTTGTGAGCATAGTTGTTACACTCTGTGGCCATGAAAGCTGCCAGAGAGAGGGGGGACTGGCAATGGTAGCAAGCATGGATCACAGCCCCCTAGTTATAAGATGGAAAAGCCATTTTAGTCTGAAGCCTGCAAAACTGATTTGAAGGTGTGTTGTTTCTTTAGCTGGTAAATTTGAATTGTCTTCCATTATTACATAAAGTAGGAGAATAGGCAATATTATGACTTGTTGGATGTAAGCAGATAGTCTTTTTAATTATTACTCTGTCCCTCTCCCCTAAATGGCAGTTTCTGCTTAATATTTCATTATGTGCGGATTAACAACTTCAGGCAGTAGTAAACAGCTGCATAAACATTTTCATGGAACTATCTTTATAATGTGGAATTATATTGTCCTCTAAATTAGAACTATTGCTTGGAGAGAGGTTGTGGGTTTTTAATCTTTGCCATTTTTTTCTTTATAGATTTATTTAAGGCAGCAAGATAAAACTGCAAGTATCAGTCAAAATGTTCGTATTGCCAAAATGTCCCTCATTGACCTGGCAGGGTCTGAACGTGCCAGTGTCACAAATTCCAAAGGAGCTCGTTTTAGAGAAGGTACCAACATTAATCGCTCACTGCTAGCTCTTGGAAATGTCATTAATGCCTTGGCGGATCCAAAGGTAAGTACTGCTTTGTTTTAAATACAATAAACATGCATGTGTGTCAACTTTTCCTTACACTGTTTAATATTATATTCCCTCTAGTTAAAAAGAATACAACCTTGTGCTATATGTCTTATGTGCCCTAATTTAGAATTTTTTTTAAAATCCTGTGACTATGAAATTGACCCAAGTGGGCCATGAATTTAGTGGGGACTTAACAATAATTAAATAAAATTTGTAATGCTGCTGTTAAAGAATATAACTGAGAATCACAGAGCTTGTAAGGCATATATAACAAATCAAACACGTTCAGAATGTGATGAACATCTTACTGCTTTTGGTGTTTTATTACCATCTTGAGCAAATGTGGTTCTTCACCCATTTGTTATAAAATGTTACTTGAAAGGTTTGTCAAGTCTGTATCCTACAACCTGTTCACAATTGTGATGTGATCCTGCTACTTCTTGGCTGCTCTTTCTGAACCATTGTGGTCATGCTGTTTGGCCATTTCTTCATTATATTATTTTCCTTTAGCATTTTTATCGGTAGTCATGTCATCTAGGTAGCTTAGTGAAATCCATGCTTAGCTGACGGACTTTTTTCAATGAAGAAATGACATGTCTCCGTTCAAAATTTATAACAAAGATTAATCAAACTGTCGAGGCTCATTCCCCGTCTGGTACGATGAAGTGGGGGCCCGCAAAATTACTCCAAAACCTTATATTTCTAGGCTTTGGTATAAAGCTTGCCCAAAAAAATCTTAAACCTAGATTTTGGGGATAAAAATCCACTGCCACCACCGAAGTAATGGTAAGAAAACAAGGAAGAGATCTTGGGAAATCTCTGCCCTGAAGTAAAACCAGGGCACACAAATTAACCAATACCAGGTTAATAAAAAAGAAAGAACTTTTATTATCACCACAATACTCCTGTTACGAGCATAGTTGGATTGGCTAGATAATAAGAGCCACTAATCAATAAACTCATGGGGGATTTTCCCATGGGGAACAAAACTTAGTTACAAAAGAGAGAGAACCCCATTTCTAAATGCACAGACATCAGCTTCCCATTCCCAGACCATATAACAATAAAACCTAATGGATTTATCTAAACTTTACCCTACTTACAGATAATGAAGAGTCTTCTTGGAGAGAGACATGATTTCTCTCTTTCCTCAGAATCTGAAGAGAAACTGCTCAGAGACAAAGGAGGAAAAAAAAACAAAAATTCCTTTGTCCCAGTTTGAAATCCCTATCTGCATTTCTATTGGCTGACTGCTACCTGGCTTAGATACAGTTAACCCATTACTCCCCAGGATGCTGGCCATGCCTCATGACCATGACAAACTATCTTTCCTATCTCTTCTCCAAACTCTCCCAGGATATTCAGGGAGGCTTATATGAATAAATTAAATACAAAAAGTGTACAGTGCTATGCCCATTCATGGACTTTGGGGGGGGGCAGGATCAAGGTGAGATCATATGCTACCAAATATTACCCAGTACCGATAAAACTATGTATTCAAGCCTATTCTGGACAGACAGGAGTTGGGGCAGCAAACCAAACTTAAAATTTATTTCACCAGAGCCATTTCTGTGACTCATCTCTATAGCATGTTCTTCGCAGTTTGTAAGTCTGCCACTTACTTTAATCCACTCATTTCATTTATTTATCTGTCCACTCAATTCTAGAGCCAGATCAGAAGTTCATTTCAGGAAGAAGTCCTTTTACCCTTATTTACTAAAGTGTCTTCTTGAGGGTTCTGCAGAAATAGCCTCATGAAGGAGGGGCAAAAAAGTTACTAGTAATGTTGTCTAAATGGATTGTCATTTCCTGTCCCTACTAGCTTTCTCTTTCTTGCTTCATTGGATTGCTACTGGTAATGGTGATAAAATAGAGAGGGTGGCTATGGACAGGATTGTTTATAACTTCATTGAAATTTAGGATTGAGAATTGAAGGTTGTGTGTCTGTGCTGTCATTACAGTGGACCAACAGACATGGTCTGTATCCAGTTAAACTACTTTAGAATCTTTGCATGATTGTGAGTGCTTGTGACATCTACCACAAGGGAAGGCCATGTGTGGGCTGGAGCCATTTATGATCTCTGGGCAACTATATTAAGAAAACTTTAATTTGGTTGTGAACTGTAGGTTCCTGAGCTATATTGTAACTTTTAGTGTCTGGATCAGTCCAGTTGCAACATGGAGCAAATAAGAGACCCTTTTCTCAAGTGGTCATAATGGTCATCTCTGTCATGGAATCTGAACTGCTTTTCCTGCATCCCTCAAAGCAACTTGGATGTGAGGCTAAAGCACTCTGAATAGCAACTCTTCAGTTTGTGCTGAGGCTGATCCACCTTTCTACCACTGGCCATCTACTGAGGCACAAGGAATGCATTAGGGCCGCATTTCTCAAACTATGGACCCTGACCCCTCAGGGGGTCGCGAGCAACTTAGAGGGGGGTTGCAGTATCACAAAGTTTGAGAACCCCTACATTAGGGGATAAATGGCTACTTTATTACCTGTTTCCCTGCGTGAATGTAGGAGTCCCTGGAAGAATACGTAATGAGATGAACTGAGTGCAAGGGGAGTGCCTGTTGCAGAACGCCTGTTCACTCCCTCTGACTGTCACCCAACAACAGAGAGGGGAAAAAGCAGTAGTCAAGAAACAAACTCTTATAGTGCCCCGTTTTTCTGTGCCGAGCCATGTTAGAGACGTCTAGGGGGTGGTGTTAACTTGGGCGAGCTGGCTATGGATGTTGATGTAATGTGAGGTGGAAATGTACTAATAAAAAATATACTTTTTTTTCCCCAAATACTGTTGTTACTAGGGATGTTACCATGTAGTCATTTACAGGCTTAATCAATAAGCCTGGATTTATCGGTTATTCCTAATGATATATACTTCCCACTCTTGCTGCCCCTGCATCAGAAGCAGCAAGGGGGAGGGAAGGCAGGAGCCAGTGCCTGTGGGCAGTCAGCTTTTAAGCCTGCTGTCTATGCATGTCAGCTCTGCGGAGCCACCTGCCCCTCTCCCCCTTTGCTGCCTCCCACAGAGACAGCAGCATGGAGTGGGGGCAGGCAGGATCCAGTATGCATGGAGGAGGCAGCTTTTAAGCTAGTTCTCCGTGTGTGCCAGCTTCCACAGAGCTGCTTTTCCCCCCATGCCCCTCTGTGCTGCTGCCTCTGATAGAGAGGCAAAAGGTTTTTTTTGTTGGGGGGGGGGGGGGAGAGACAGGCAAGAGCCAGTACATGCAGGACTCAGCTTTCAAGCCAGTTTCCGGCACGTATCCGCTCCCATGGAGCTACCTGCTTCCCATGCTGCTTAAAAGCTGGCTCCCCACGAGCACCGTCTCCCGCAGTCCCCTCCTGTGTGTAAATGTGTAACCACTTTAAAAAATCCAGCAGTTACACAAATACCTGTTAGTTAACATCCATAGTCATTACTGCTCCCAAATCCAGCATAGTTCTGTAGTGCATCTCCTAGAGCAGGATCTAATGAGTCTACACTTCAGGGGGATAGACTTGATATTGGTGTGCTGCACACTCTGTGCCTTGAACATCCTTTTTCTTTTTTTTTTTGCTTTGCTTTTGTTTAAAAAAAAAATTGAAGTGTCTCTTTAGCAGGGAGGGGAGAAAACCGTAATATAAACTTACTAGCTAGGGAGTAAGACATGTTTGCCAGCAAACAATTCACAATGTGAATATGGAGACCACTAAGCAATAAGATCTGTAACAGTGTCTTGAGAGCCTAAATCAGAACCCCCGCTGCTTCTCACAGGAAATATACCTAGTTACCTTCCATTGTTTGCTGTGTCTGGACATTGTGTGCCGTGACTTGCAGAGGCTCAGTATTTCTCATCACGCTTGACTATTGATTGTTCTTCAGTTGTGAAGTTTTGTTTCTTTCCATCTGCTAGAACAAAGAAAAAAGGTTATTTTGTGAGCGGGGTGGGAAGTTTCTCTTCTTCCACTCACCTTTATCAACCCTTATCCTCCAGCCTGCCTGGTGGTTAAGGGAGACTGGTCTCTATTCTACTCATCTGAGCCTTTGGGTTTTTGAGTTCCAGCATCAGTAAATAATAGACGTGTTTTTTGACAATTTCACTGCTCAGTTTGTTCTGAACAACAGTAGAGAAACTGATCCTGCTTTTGCTAATTCCATTCTGTTGTTGCAGCCTTGCAAAGCTATGAGCATAGCAACAGAGACATAAAACCTGTCTGCATGTTAGGAAGACAATAATGCATATAAGCTTATATTTGGTTCACTTTGGAAGGTTATTTTATAGACATAACATTCTGAGCCAAAATCCTAGTACAGTAGACTTCCGATAATCCGGAACCTATGGGACCTAGGTGGTGCCGGATTATCAAATATGCTGGACTATCAGGAGGTACTATAAGCTGGTTTTATATATATATATATATATATATTATATACTGTATATAAAGTGTTCTTAACCCTTTTTATTGTACATACTGTATACAGTATACTGTAATGT